AATGATTCAATCCTAACCACTGGTAGTATTTATTAATTTGATTTAAACATATGCAGAATGTATGTTTCAAAGTGCATTCTGACAATTTTTGAACCTGCTTAAAATGTTTATTTCTCTTTTTCTTTAAATCCTAGAAAATCGCCATTATCCATCCAAAATATTGAAATACTATAAATTGATGTTAAAACTTATCTGCACAGCATTTACCCATTTCTATATCAAATAATTATGTCTTCTTGTTACTTGAAGAAAGATGCTGTCCGTTCCATTTTGAGCTGAAAGTGCATCCTAATTCATGCACATGCATTATTACTTATATGAATATTGAATTTTAATATAAAGTCATATTTGTTCGATTGATTAAGAATTCGACTTTAAGGAGACGTTTGATTCTTAAAAATATACTATAATGAAACTGTTTTTCATTACGTAAAATTGATATATTTTGAAACAAATGTTATTCATGCAAATTATTACAATATTAAGGTTTATAGCTTTTCTTTGGCATCAAGACATATAGGCACACTTTCTTTGTAGGCCATGGGGCATTCTCACACTTGTTTGACAAGATGTTTATTCCTAGGATTGATAGAAAATCAAAGTGGAAGGTCAGTGTCTTTTTGAAAAAGTATATATATATGCATGTTATGTTTCTCAACCTAAAGCGTATTGAATTGGATATACTCTTTACCACTGAAAGTTTTATTACAGCATGAGAAGGCTTCCATACAGATGCTAGATAGGATCTTCGATCAAAACATGCATGACCTTCAAGAAAGCGCAAAAATTTATGGACTTGACCTACAGAAAAATTCAAAACATAGACAATTTATCAAGGATTTAATAAAAGGGGTACATGTACATTATTAGCATATTTAATATAAGATAATACATTCTTACTGATATATTTCTGTTTGATAAAATTAATTAAAGTGTAATATCGCAGAGAGCCAGAGGCTCTGCAATACATCTAGAATTATAAATACACATGTACAATATTTAAAAGCTTTATATGGCGTATATGAGCTAAAAATAACAATACGAGATTGAGTGTAGATACATGTATACATGAAATATCCTATTTAAGTTCAAATTAGTTTTTCCAATGATTTTGAAGTAGGATAACCTAACATTTCTATAGTTAAATTATTTTGAATAAAACTTTCTCTGTTATTTAAATGTGGATTTTGTAAACAAATCGATTTTGTTTCAAATTGTTGATATCTTTGACACACGATCGATTTAAATTGTATAATTTAGGAATCTTGGAATTTTGGTAATCCGAACTTATCAGAAATACGCCATATTTGGGTTTAACAATTGAAATAAGATTTAAGTTATTAAATATTTTTTGACCAATTTCTTTAATTACATCAGCTATTAATTTGACATCCAAAGGAACAGGTGGAACAGCTATTTTTGTAAATCTCTCTTAAGTTTCTATATCTCACTCTATTTTCAGTAGTAACCTCTCTCTCTCTCTTCCTTTCTCTCTCTCCTTCTCTCTCTCTCTCTCTTCAATTCTTTCTCCCTCTCTCTCTCTCTCTCTTCTCCCATCTCTCTCTTTTCTTTTCTCTCCCCTTCCCATCTCTCTCTCCCTTATTTTCTCTCTTCCTTTCTCTCGCTCTCAATTTTTTCTTTCTCTCCATCCCTCTTCCTTTCTCTCACCATCTATCTCTTTTTATCTCTCTCCCTCTATCTCTTATGTATTTCCATACATGCACAATGTTTTAGAAAGAAGAGAAAAAAAATAGGGATTCAAATTATATGTAACTGTCGTTGTAAAAATCTAATTATTAAAAAGATTCAAATCAGATGGCCACCAAAGCATTTGTCAGTTTTTTTTAGCTCACCTGAGCCGAAGGCTCAAGTGAGCTTTTCTGATCAAAATTTGTCCGTTGTCTGTCGTCGTTGTAAACTTTTCACATTTTTATCTCCTTCTCAAGAACCACTGGGCCAATTTCAACCAAACTTGCTACAAAGTGTCCTTGGATAAAGGGGATTCCAGTTTGTTCAAATAAAGGGCCACGCCCTTTTCCAAGGGAAGATAATTATGAATTGGAGAAAAATTAATGGCATTTTAAAGAAATCTTCTTCTCAAGAACCACTGGGCCAGGAAAGATGAAACTCATGTGGAGTCATCCTCAGGTAGTGTAGATTCAAGTTTGTTCAAATCATGACCCCCGGGGCCAGGGTTGGGCCAAAATGGCCGACCAAAGTTTTACATAGGAGTATATAGGAAAAATCTTAAAAAATCTTCTCAAGAACCACTGGGCCAGGAAAGATGAAACTCATGTGGAATCATCCTCAGGTAGTGTAGATTCAAGTTTGTTCAAAACATGACCCCCGGGGCCAGGGTTGGGCCAAAATGGCCGACCAAAGTTTTACATAGAAGTATATGGGAAAAATCTTTAAAAATCTTCTTCTCAAGAACCACCGGGCCAGGAAAGATGAAACTCATGTGGAATCATCCTTAGGTAGTGTAGATTCAAGTTTGTTCAAATCATGACCCACGGGGCTAGCAAGGGGCCAAAATTGCCGACCAAAGTTTTACATAGGAATAATACAGAAGAAAAATCTCTAAACATCTTCTTCTCAAGAACCATGCCGAAATATGGCTGAAATATTGCCGACTCGGCGTTAAACAATATAAAATCAATCAATCAATCTCAAGAACCACTGGGCCAGGAAAGATGAGACATACGTGGAATCATCCTCATGTAGTGTAGATTCAAGTTTGTTCAAATCATGACCCCCGGGGATAGTGGGGCCAACATGGCTGACCAAAGTTTTACATAGGAATATATAGGAAAAATCTTTAAAAATCTTCTTCTCAAGAACCATTGAGACAGGAAAGATGAAACTCATGTGAAATAATCTTCAGGTAGTTTAAATTCAGATTTGTTCATATCATGACCCTCAGGGTTAGGTTGGGGCCAAAATGGTCAACCAAAGTTTTACGTAGGAATATATATAAGGAAAACTTTTAAAATCTTCTTTTCAAGTACTTCAAAGCCATGGTTAGTCATATTTATATGGAATCATCCTGAGGAAGTGTAGATTCTAGTTTGTTTAAATCATGACCCCCTGGGGGGATAAAATTCAAGCCCCCCCCCCCCTCAGTAAACATTTAGTTCTGATCAGATATGTGCTTTTTCCTAGCTGATGTGCTCAGGTGAGCGCTGTGGCCCCTGGGCCTCTTGTTTAATTACAGATATATGCTTCTAATTATTCCTCTTTCTACAGATATTTTTAAAAAATCATTTTATGAATCAATTATAATGAAAAAAATTTTCCAGAAGAAGAAGGCCAGAAAGAAAAAAGATGCAAAAAAGGACTTTCTTTACGAGGTAATTTCCAGGAAAATAATTTTTTTACTGCAGTTTATCAATTTTTCGGGAAAAATGACAGAATTTTAAATTTCAGATTGTGGCTAATGAAGAGAATAAAATTGACGTGGATAAATGGGATTACTTTTCTAGAGATTGTCATATGCTGGGTCTGAAGCATGACTTTCAGATCATGCGGAGCATAATGCTGGCTCGTGTCATCAAATACAAGCGGGGACACCGCATTTCATTTCCCAAAAAGGCAAGTCTTATGAAAGCATATGATTTTACCACAGTGTTTGAAAATTTTCTATTTCTAATCAAAACATCAATTGACTCCAGCAGAAATCTTTTTTCACCATTCCAGAATAATGAACAAGCTTTGAGATCACGATTTGGATCAAATAAATTTGTTTTTAAATAATGTGTTTAAAACGATTTGAGAAAAGCAAAAATATATTACAAACATATCGGTTTATCTTTCAGGAATACATGAATCTTTTCGATATGTACCACACACGCTATACCCTTCATCGCCGTGCTTACCAGCATCCGGTCAACAAAGCTGTTGAGCTAATGTTAGTTGTGTATGAGTGTAATTGCAGGAGGTGTACTTTGATTACAATAAAAAAAAGCAACAGCATATTGAATTAAAAAAGAAATTTATTTTTTCAATTTCAAAATTTGGCGAAATTGAGCTGAGTATATAAACTGCCTTTTCCATCACGTAGCTAGTAGTGTCATAGTTTTGAAACACAAATAAGAGTTCATATAGAAATGAATACTCGGTACTCTTAAATCAAACAAAAAATTCTAATCAGTAAATATATAATATAAAAAAGGACAATATATCGTTAAATTTTCTCAATATTGAATACATTTATCGATAAAAATTTGTCAGTCATAGCTAGGTCATTGCCACCGTTTGTTTATTCTATACTTGCCCTATCTTTTTGATCAGCGATTGCCCAAACATTTTCAGTGCTGCAATTATTCTTTTCTTCAAAAGAAGAAATCAATTACTGCAATCATTTTTCAGAATGCATTTTTTCAAATCCAGACTCATAAAAGTGTAAATATGAAACATGTATTTAAATTGCTCACAGATTTTGATAAAGACTTTTCCTTTTTATTCTCCCTAATTAAAAAAGACACTTTAAGGTCATATGCAACGTAGTGTGAAATTTTAGTCTTTTTCCATGGAGTTGAAGAATTCCAATTCTTGAAGGAACTGTGTGTTATTTTTTGTTGTCTATATATGGTGTTGTACACTTCATCTAGAACAATTTTGGATAAAAGAAAAATCTAGAATATATGTTTAGTAGTTTTGAAATATTTTTAATATCTTTAAAAAATCCCAGGTAATGCATGCTAATTTTTTGTCTATGAACATCTGATGACCCTATAAGCCTAAATGAAGAATATCTTGAAAAATTATTAGTAGGTAAGGTACGTTGAGTATGTCCTTAAGTATTTTAAAAGAAATTTTGAATTGTTTGTTTGTAGACTTATAATTTATTTGATACAGGATTACCGATGCACTGGTTTTGGCCAATGACAAGTTGACATACAGATATAGGTTTGTTCGTTTTATATATTTTAGAAAAAGAACATATTATATGTCCTACATGCTGTTTTACATTGATACCTTTTTTATTTTAGAGAGGGAACCAAACAGAAAAAAATGCCACTTTCAGACACCATTAAAAACATGGAAGCATATAGTCTCGTCACAGACGACGTCATTGATCGCATTCGTTTTGAAAATTTCAAAGATAAAAAATTCAAGGAAGCTAAAACGATAATTAATAGAATATTCAGACGTGATTTGTATAAATGTGTCGTAGAGAGGACAGTTGCAAGGGTAGAGGTTTGTCATTAATGTTTCTTTGAGAAGAGCTAATACTAACTATTTTCTTTTTGACCTTCTTGACAGCACAATTGATACGAAAAGTTTGAAATCATAACTGGTAAAAGAGTATTTTCTAATATTCAATCCGATCAATGCATTGGTTTAATGACAGGAATTTTGATTGAATAAACAAGACATTGAAGACTTGTTCAAGTCCTTATGTTTTTGTGCTCTTTTAAATGTCAAACATAGATGCTTGATAACAATAAACTAGAGAGCAGGGGAACAATACAAAAATCAACAAATTAAAAAACAAAAACATACAGACTTGACCATGTCTAAGGACTGCATTGCTGATTAAATTCAATGTTCCAACTCCTTGACTGAATTTGTTCCTATTTGCGTTATTGTAAATGGTGTAATTATAAATGATACATATTGTGAATGACATTTTACAATGAAAATATGTGGGTCTGAAGACCCAAATGACAAAATGATATACATGTACATATTGCCTTTTATCCAGTTGTAAATTTTGATTGCAGTCGAACACGCTTAACACTCAGTACCCTCTCGGCTTCTCATTTACGTGAACATTAAGTGAAAATGAAACAGTATTATAGCATATTAATTAGATATGGAATTTTATATTCCTTTTCAGAAGTGTAGAGAAAGCAGAGTCTATCAAGATAGAATTGAGAAATGGGACATCCACATTGAGGTAAAGTAAAAGTTTTTCGTTTACGATGTGAAAAAAAAAACTTTTTCGATTTCTCTGTCATAGGTGTATGCTACGAAAGCCATGAAGGGACACGTTGATTTTTCAAAAAAGTAAATATTAATTCGAGATCTCGAATTACACAATCCGTTCCCACGGATTACCTATTCGTTCCCTCGATTTATAATTCGAGATCTCGAAATACACAATCCGTTCCCATGGATTATCATTTCGTTCTCACAGATTATCAATCCGTTACCTCAAATGATACAATCCGTTATCTCGGATTGTAATTCATTCTCTCAGTTTAAACAATTCGTTCCCTCGGAATGTAATCCCTTCTCACGATTTCATTGATATCAGCTATCTGTACATATCGGATATGGCAATACGTATACGTACATGTACGTGTTTTATGAATAGAATATTGTAGGTGTTTAGATCCTACCTTTAAATACATATTACGGTCCAAAATGAGAAAATAGCATGAACCTGACTCAAATCTATATTCTAGTACTGATATTTATATAAAAAGAAGTCCTGGGTTTTGTTTTACATGTATATTAGAATAATTGAAAGTCCTATATATTAAAAGTAAATATGGCTGATGTGTAATTGTTTTTTATCTAAATAAAATATACGTTGAATTAGTTATAAAAGAGGTTCGGAACGACCGCGGTTGCTGAAACAAAATACATGACTCGCATTAATTGATTCAAATAGTTGAATTTGAATGTTTATAACATTACATAATCATAAACATATATACATGTAATAAATTCGCGAGTACTGATTGCCAAAATCATAAGACTGATGTTACAAATCGAGATCTCGAATTATTAATCCGTGGGATCGGATTGTGTAATTTGAGATCTCGAATTTTAAACCGAGGGAACGAATTATTAATCCGTGGGATCGGATTGTGTAATTCGAGATCTCGAATTTTAAACCGAGATCTCGAATTATTAATCCGTGGGATCGGATTGTGTAATTCGAGATCTCGAATTTCAAACTGAGGGAACGAATTGATAGTCCGTGGGAACGGATTGTGTAATTCGAGATCTCAAATTAATTTTTACTTTTTTGAAAAATCGACGTGTCCCTTCATGGCTTTCGTAGTATGCTATTGTACAATGTATTCTTCCAATTTTCTCTTCTTAGTTAATGGCTAGTTTCTTAATACTTCGTATAAACATGTTTGTTAAAAAACAGTACATTGTCTAAACAAAAGATTTTTTGATTTTATTAGCCAATTGTATTCAGTTATGGAGCTCAAAGGAAAAACCCTATGGACAAAGTTCTCTTTGATATCGGAGGTACCGAAGTGAACCCAACTGAAGAGGTATTAAACTAGGCTTGAATTTCTTTACATCAATGTTTATATATGTGTCTCATGTTGTGTATCATGTTCATATTGTTTTTCAATTCCAGAAAAATTCTGTGTATTTTTTGTTGTTGTTACAATTTATACTGATACACTCGTATATATAATTAATATGTAATATGTAATTAATACGTAAAGATTATTTAATGATGTTCAGTGGGCCTTTGCCAATTATTGTAATTGTGTTTGTGCCAATTAAGTATTTGTATTTGTATTTGTATATGAATAATATATTTTTTTTTCTTCATTTAGAAATCTGCCATGCTACCTAGAGTCTTTGAGGAAACTTACTTACGCATGTACTGGAAAAAATCCTCTGTAAAAGGGAATGGATTCGAAGACGCAAAAAATTGGTTTAAAAATCTAAAAGGTGGGCCTTCACTTAAATATAAAGGAAAAATACAGGTAAAAATATTTAGTATCACGAGGTACGAAAGCCTGTGAGTATCATGTATTCGACAAGAAAAATTTGAGGTTATTTCCATTTGATATACTCAGTAGTCTCGTAAAAATTTTATTACTTTAATATTGACAAAACAACTGAGATTTACCTAAATTTAAAAAAAATATATTTATAGGTGTATTAAATATAAACTAAGCTATATTTGTCTTAATGGAGAGCATTTCATTTTCGGTAAATACTCTTTATCGAACTTATTTTTAGGGAAATAATTCTAATTTTAAATGATTTTTTTTATCGGATTCTTCATCAAAATTATGTTTGGTGTTTTTTGGTTGTTTGCTTAGGTTTTTATTTTTTTACAATTAAAATAATGGTACATTATTAACCAAAAACCCATATTTCTGTCCGTTAAGTAGAATTCAAATTGGCTGGAAAGCGGTATCATCTCCGTCTCAAACCAAAGCAAAAGAAAGTACGGCGACTTGGTGCCAAGAACAAAGGGACTAGGCATACACCGCGCCATCGACAAAGGGAAAACTAACTCTGTATAGTTTCAATTGGTTCTTGTGCAACATTTCATCCGTCTTTGATTGTCTTGAGTACGACAGGACATTTTTATTAGGCTAAGAAAATTGAAAAAAACAACATCTTGACTAAATGAAAATAACCAAAAAAATTACTTCATATCCTGACCTGGCAGCTGTCAGGGTATCAGAAGTATGTGATAAGATACCTAAATAGAAAAAGAAAGAATCTTTGTGAAAAATTTAATGCTATTTTTCTCATTGAATTGTTGATTTTTATTGGCCTTGTAAGTCATCTTTCAGATCTTTCAGTGACCTTTTAAACAACTGTTCAAAAGGTCCCGTAATGAAAATAGTTTGCAATTTACGGTGGATGATTTTCTGCGCACGGTTGGTGAGAATTTTTTCCATTTTCCAGCATTGGTCAATCAATTACATTCCTTTCACAATCTACAACAAATTCTTTACCCAGTCTGTATATTTTATTTACCGCTCGACCATTCATACTTGTCTCTACAGACTTGTATGAAGGATTGAGATGTAAATAAAATCAAGTTGCTGAAACAAATATATCAGTAGTCTCCTTTAAAGTCATCATTTTGTAAGTTCTATGGTCGATAATATGACCTTTTCAGCAAATACAATTTTTCATTGAGTTAAATGCTGACTGACGATTTTCATACTAATTGTTAGACCATTATTTACACACTGAATTGACGACGGATTTTCCTGATATTTCTCGATCATGACAAGGGGCACATGATGTGAGCGGTCGACAGGGGATGTCACTTTTCCATGGCACCTGATCCCACCTCTGATCTTTGGAGGTCGTGTTTGTTCTGCTTCTATTTTGTATTGTTATGCGCCCGGATCGAAAGATCCGAGGCGTATATTGTTTTTGTCCTGCCTGTCTGTTTGTCTGTTTGTCTGCAAACTTTAACCTTCGCCATAATTTTTGAATCATGAATGATAGAGACTTCATATTTGGCATGCCATCCTCCACTAATAAAGCTCTTTCAAATGACACCAAGGTCAATGACCTTGTGACCTTGACTGTGACCTATATGCTAAAAATAGAGGTTTTTTTGCAAATTTTAAGCTTTGCCATAACTTTTGAACCATAAAAGACAGAGGCTTCATATTTGGTATACATACAACACTTATTAAGCTTTTTTAAAAAACACCATGACCTTGACTGTGCCCTATACGCTAAATATAACTTTTTTGACAGCAAACTTTAACCTTCGCCATAACTTTTGAACTAAGAAAGATAGAGACTTAATATTTGGCATGCATACTCCACAAAAGAAGCCCTTTCACATGACATCAAGGTCAATGACCTTCTGACCTTGACTGTGTCTTATATGCTAAAAATAGCTTTTTTGAACCTTCACCATAACTTTTGAGCCATGAAAGATAGAGACTTCATATTTGATATGCATACTTCACTAATCAAGTTCTTTCAAATGACACCAAGATCAATGACCTTGTGACCTTCACTGTGACCTTTATGCTAATTATATGTTTTTTAAATTTGTTGCCGCCGGGCGCATATTGTTTCACAAACACATCTTGTTTAGTGGACTTTTGATCTTTAATACTGTTTGTTATCTCTATATATTTTACCAATAAACTTACTAGTTTTGATTTTTGTCGGATGACATAAAATTCAAAACAATTCTTTATAGATGACTTTAAAGGGTTGAGAAATACTAGTATATAAAATACTGAAGTTTGTTTAAAAATATGTCTAGAACTAGGGAGAAAAGGGTAGTTGATGGTCCAAAGCTGGAAAGTAGTTCTTACCAATCATGAGCAGAAAACCCTGCGCCGTAAATTGCACATTATTTTACAGGATCTGTAGCATTATGGTCAAAGACTATAATGTAAAACCATATCACTACAGTTCTGAAGCTTGCAAGTTTCAACTGACTTAAATTTATCACATTTTCCTCATGAATTGAATTTAACACATTTTTTATGTATGCATTTTTTGGTGGATTTTTTTTAAATACCAGAACAATTCACTAATTTTTGACAAATAAATAATTTTTTCATGGTGTCAGGGTGAATTTTGTACATTTAATATGTTCGTTGTTTGACTGTCTCTGGAGATTTATGCCTTTCTTTACATTTATATTGCAAATGATCTATCCTAAATTACTTTATAAGACCTCCGAGGGTCATGATTTGAAATATCCGAGGATGTATCAACATAAATATGACTTGTTGATTTCCTATATGTACCAGCATGTATGTAAGTCTTCATCGTTTTTTTTTATTATACATAAGTGTACATTTAAGACCGGTTATCCCCCCATCTCTTTTTAAAAATTTTATGCCGAAAAGTTGTTTTATGAAAAAAGAGAAAGAAAAACAAACAAAAACTGAAACAAAGTACATGAACTGGCAACTAAAACAAATATTTAGTACATTTTATTTGAGTTTAACAATTAAAGTACTGTGTCCAAGTACCTTTAAGGAAGGTCCATACTTTTACGGATCCGGTTTTAATTTTATACACCAATAAAAAATTCCGATTATCACTTGTCTTTTGAAATAAAATCTTTTAGGATCACCGAAAATAATTTAGCAAGTATAAATTTGTTTATTATCGTACCATTGTGCATACAAAGCATTTATTATACATTATTTATGGAAATTTACATTTGCACTTTGTCCATAAGATCTATGTGTCATTTAGCACATACACAAAAATCTTGATTGCCTTTATGGACCTAAAGCTTTTAATTTTTTTTTTCAATAAACTAACTTGAAATATATATTTATTGAGTTTAAGCCTATATTATCTTTTCAAATTTTACTTTCTTTAAAATTTTGCAAAGAATGATTGAAAAAATGATATTCGAAAGAATGGGGTATATGTGTTTAAAAGGCTGTTTTGTTAAATTCAGCTGGTCAGCCATTTAAATAAGTATGTGTTCTTGTTAACCTTGAATATAATTCTTAATTGTTTCTAGAAAAAATGGCATATTAATCGTTTAGAATTTGAAAATTAGTAAAAGTAAAGAAATTTTGCGATCTTTTTTTTATGGAAGACGTGGACCGATTCAATACCAATTCGTTACTGTTTTCCAATAAAGATTTCAAATATTTTCTTGGCAAATGAATATTTTTGATTACCATAAGTTTTAACATAAATTTGATGTAATCTGGTGCATAGCGAAATAAAATATGATATCACACTTCTTTTATGTTCAATTTTTGCGTTGAATTTTATGGGAGGTACTTGAAGACCTGTATGAAATTTAACCTGCAAAACAGGAGCAGAGCAAACAAGGAATTCTAGTGAGCATCCCCTGCCGACCGGCGAGTGTTTCTTGTCATGATTGGGATATAACGGACAAATCCATCGTCAATTCAGTGTATAAATAATAGACTAACAATTAGTATGAAAAACGTCAGTCAGCACTTGATAATGATCAATTGTATTTGCTGAAAAGGTCATTGTATGGACCCCCGTGGGGATCCGGGTTAGAATGGGTCCTCAGTACCCCCTTGCTTATCATAAAAGGCGACTAAATGGGGCGGTCCTTCGGATGAGACCGTATAAACCGAGGCCCCGTGTCACAGCAGGTGTGGCACGATAAAGATCCCTCCCTATTCAAAGGCCGTAAGTGCCGGGCATAGGCACAGGTACTTGTGGACAGGACCCCCCCCCCCCCAATATACACCCCTGGTCAAAATATCTTTTCAATTTTTTTTTCTCATGAATTATGTTTCTAGTACTTATTTACAATGTATTCCATATGAAAAACCCAAAAAATAACATAGATTTAACGATTTACCAAAAAAGTCATACCCTGGTATTATTTTATAAAAAGATATTTTGACCAGGGGTGTATAGTTGGGGGGGGGGGGGTCCTGTCCACAAGTACCTGTGGGCATAGGCCTAAATTTGCAGCCCTTTACCGGCAATGGTGACGTCTCCATATCAGTGAAATATTCTGGAGAGGGACGTTAAACAGTATACAATCAATCAATCTATCAATCATTGTATGGACCATATAATTTGCGTATATCATAAACGATACAAAACTGGAGCAGAGCAAACACGGACCTCCAAAACATTAGAGGTGGGAGCAGGAGCAACAGAGGAGTGAGCATCCTCTTCCAACTGGTTACCCCCCGCCGCCTGCTCCTTGTCATGAACGGGAAATAACGGACAAGTTCATCGACAATTCAATGTGTATATAATAGCCTTTAGTCTGAAAACTACGGAAGCCCTGGAGGGACATTGACTTACTTGTAATGACTTATTTGTTATAACTTATTTGTTTCGACTTATTTGTTTTGAGATTTTTTTTTGTTAGTTCAAACTAAGTGTAGGTAAGCTACTAAGAACGATTAATTGTAGTTTTGTAGTTAAACCTACAAAACTGATATGATAACTAAATTTTTATCTGTTAATTACGGACACCCTTCAGGGATATTGACTTATTTCTTATGTGTTTTGACTTATCTCTTATGTGTTGTTACTTAACTTATTTCTTATGTGTTTTGACTTATTTTTTATGTGTTTTGACTTAGTTCTTATGACTTAACTTTGAATTCTTGTTATTTTGAATTTTTTATGACAAGTTTAGTTTACAAAAAGTGGCGTGAAAGATGGAGGCAATGTATATTTTCAGAAAGAAGAAAAAAAATGTCCTTGAATTTATTACTAACGACAAGAAAAAATAGTAGTCATGTTCTTGTCTTCAATCATTATGCAAACTGGAAGTTACATATAAGAATTAAGTAATAACTTTTAGAAAATAAGAATTAAGTCATAACAACAAAAATAATATTTACTTTAGTAATGTCAATTGTACTGGACGTTAAACTACAATTTGTTAATCAAAAACTACAATTAAAATAGGACTAAATGTCATTTTTATCATAAAATTAAGCGAAGCAACAGGTTTTCAATAGTTTTCTTACACTTTAGTTATAACTAGCTACGAAACATTCACAACAAATAAGTCAAAACAAAAAAGTTATAACAAATAAGTCATAACAAGTAAGTCAATGTCCCTCCAGGGCTTCCGTAGAAAACGTCAGTCAGCATTTGACTC